TACTCCAGACACACTACTTTATTCTGTTCTTAAAAGTATCATGTTCCTTCTATTCTAGGGCCTTTGCATATGCTATCCCCTTGGCCTGGCATTGTTACTGTCCCTCTGTGCCTAGGTAATTCCACTCATCTTTAGGGAAAAATTTCCCTGACTACCTCCTATGAATCTGGATCCAGACTCACTCGCTGTTACATGTTCTTATGGCTGCATTTCTCTCCCTTCCTAACTCTTACCTCAGCTTGAATACTTATTTGGAGTTATTTGTTACACTAGACTGTAAGCTTTATGCTGGGAAGAATGTGCCTGTTTTTGCTCACCATTCTATCCTTAAGCTGGTGTAGTGCCTGGAACACAGCAGGTACTTTTAAGTGACTGAATGAGCTCAAAGAACCCTCCCAACAAGCCTGGGAAGACCTGGCCTGAGACCAGTCCTCTTTCTGGACTCTGATCTTCTATGGTAGCTGTTTTAACAGCTTTACAAGTTGCAAAGCAGTCAATTTTGAAAAACATCTAGGGTTCTGGATCCTAACTGTCAGGATATAAATCTTCCCTTTCCCACCTCTCAGCTGTGTGACATTGGGCAAGTTCCTTAACAGCTCTGTGCTTGTGTTTCCTTTTCTGCAAAAAAGTCAGTAATAATAGTAACTGTCTCATGGGGGTTAAGGGTCAAATAGGTTAATTTCTATAACATGCTTTAAAAGGAGCCTGACACATAGTAAGCACGCCATTACTCTTAGTACTCATCAATATTATTAAAAGAAAGGGCACAGATTCTGGGATTAGACAGGCCTGTTTTTCTCATATTTATAAATTATTCCCTGTGTGACTTTGGACAAATGATGTCACACCCCACAGCAGCAGTTTCCCTGTTAAATTGGGATCTGAAGACTGAACTCAGAGAGGGCTGCTGTGAGCGTTGGGGGAGGTGTGGTGAGGCACCTAGCCCAGCACTGGTGCCAAGTGGACATCAGTCCGTGTTGCCTGTTAGACACGAATTCCCACACAGGGGAATTCCCACACAGGGGAATTCCCACACAGGCTGTCTGCCTTACTTGGGGCTGCACCCTAGTGCCTGGGCACCTGGTACCTAGTAGGTAGGTATCCAGTAAATACTTCTTTACTCTGCTCATCTTTGTGTCCAGCTCAACACTAGCGCAATACCTACCATCTAACTTGAATAAACACTTGTGCACAGAACAGATTTTTAGAAATGGCTGTTCGTTTTTGTTTCCAGTCCCACTTGAATTTCTGACTTAAACTGAGAAAGCTGGTGTGATGCTTAATTTTATGTGTCAGCTTGACGGGGCTGAGGGATGCTCAGATAGCTGGTGAAACAGCATCTCTGGGAGTATCTGGGAGGGTGTTTCCCTAAGGGGGTGGAGTTCCAATTGGTAGACTGAGCAGAGCTCTGTCTTCATCCAGGCAGGTGGGCATGATCGCCCCACTGAGGACCTGAATGGAATCAGAGGTCGAGGAGAGGCCAATTAGTGTTCCCCTTGGAACACCCATCCTATCCTGCCCTTGGATCTTGGTGGTCCTGGTTCTCAGGTCTTCAAACTCTGATGAGAGCTACACAATCGGCCCTTCTGGTTGTCAGGCCTTCTGGTTTGGATCGGAACTGTATCACTTGCAGCTTTCCTGAGTCCTCACGTTGCAGACAGCAGAATGTGGAACTTGTCAGCCTCCATAATCACATGAGTTAATCCTGTAATATCAATCTTTCTATATATCTGTTGGTTCTGTTTTTTCTGAAGAGCCTCAATAGAGACTTAACTGATCCCGAACCTCTCAAAGCTTCAGTATTCTTGAAAAATGGGGCTATAAACATTGTTCTGAAAAGTAAATGAAGCAGTGTGTATTCGGCACACAGAAGATACTCCCTTCCCTGAGCTTCAGTTTCCTCATCTGTAAAGGGCAGCCACTCACTTATTCATTCATATATTTATTCAACAAACACAGTACTAAAGTGCAAGACACTGGTTAGACTTGGGCTGGCTACAGAGGTGAGCCAGCCACTTCCTGCCCTGAGGGTCTCAGCAATTGCTGAGCGACAACACATCATTAAAAAGAAACTCATCAGGAGAAGAGCCTCCATTTGTGTGAGGCCCACGGGGTAGTGGTGCGGGGATAGGAGATTATAAGATCATGGATCAGCAGCTTGGAGGATCACCAGCAGTCCATCAGTTTGAAAGGGAGGTGCTTGCTGCAGGCTTTCGTTTTTATAGCCTGAGTTTGAAACACGTGTCAGTTCTGCTGCACCCTACCTTCCCCCTGGCTCATGGAATGTGGCAAGGACTGGTTGGAGTGTCACTTCACAGAAAGCAACCAGACATTTCCTTCTGAGACTCAGCCTTGAGCCTTTCCACCCTTCCTCCTGGGTCCTACCTTCAGGGAGACCTGACCAGTGATTTCCTACACTCAGTGCTAGAGATGTCTCCACTGAATGCTGGGGTCCTGCCTGGCTCTCCAAGGCCAAGCTTCCATATCCCAGGGTGGGACCCAGAGAGGAGAAGCTCGGACATTGGAGGTGTGGGAGATGTCAGGCCCTGTCTCCGGGTTCCTGCATTCAAGTGAGTCATATGCTTATCTCTGATGTTCACAGCTGACTTTAGGGAACTGACTTCTTCCAACTAAACTCACAAGAGACTGAAACATTTCAATTAGAATTTTGCATTTAGGCAGGATGTATTTGTGCATTGGATGGGATTATTCCTCTTCAGTGACCAAAATATTACCTGTTACCCACAGCAGACTTTTGTCTTTCATTTTCAGTTGAAAGAAACTTACATTGCGGGGGGGGGGTATTTAAATATCAAGAGTGGGCCTGCTGTAAGTGGCCTGGCCAGGGTAGAAGGATGGCTCAGTCCCAGCTGGCTGGCCCAAGTAGGCCTCAGGGAACAAGCAAGATTTACGAAGTGAGAGCCTACCTGGGTCACTTCTTCTGTTGGGAAAGGCTTCCCTGCAGTATTTTCTGTCTCGTCAACGCTGCATTTCAGTTTAAATTGCAGCTGAAAGCAGGTATTTTCCCTCTTGCCTATTACACCTCTTAATTTGTCTCTCCCTCTGCTGTTATTTGTCTCTATAAAGTGTTTTGCATGAAAGACCCATACAGCCCGATGTTGCTTTGCCCTGGGTTAGGTTTAAAGCAAGACAAGACACAGGCTAAGTCTAAGGAGGAATGTGAGGGCCTTGGGGTCTGTACACACGTGCTAGAGAATACACACCTGGCAGTGCGCATGTGTGTGAGCTATGTTGTCTGAGTGTGTGTATATGTGTGCACAAGTCAAAACTGTACTAATATATACGTGTCTCTGTATATTTTGGTATACTTGCTTGGGTGTCCATACCTAAATTAAGTGTATGTTTGTATGCAGGCATACATCCATATGCCAATCTCTTTGTGCAGGTGTACCTATGCATAAGAGCACAAATGTGTATTTACACACACGTGGGCATCTAGGTACATGTATGTCGTATCATGTGCCCATATCCTCATTCCTCCCCCTCCCCCGCCCCAAGGCTCGGGTTAGCGTCTTTCACTGCCCCACCCAAGTCCCGTTATGGGTTTCCAGAAAAGGAAAGCAGAGCAGTGGGCTCCCTGACTTGGCTCCAGCCCCCTTCACGTCCCCCTCTCTCCCCTTCCCCAGTCTGCCACCTAAGAGGCACCACTGCTGCTGTGCGGAAGCTCTGAGCACCTCGGACCAGTGTGCGGGCAGTCACCTCCCTGAGCATCTCCAGCTGACACTGAGAGGTGAGAGGGGTCACCCCACGACCAGCAAGCGCCCTCCAAACTAGCCCCGTCTCCTGCCCCTTCGGGGGGACCAAAACCCAGAGCAGCGCGGGCGGAGGAAGAAGGTCTCGATCGCTTCCAGTCCAGCATACACTGGGCAGAAACCAATGGGCGACTGTGGCCCAACGGGGATCCCTCAGAGGCAGCCAATGACCTCGCTCCACTCTGCACCCCGCCCTAGCCAACCCGGCGCAGCTGGACCATTGGTGCTGGTGGGATGGGGAAGGGGGGTAGTGTGCACGGCGCAGGCCCTTGAGGGGGCGTGGCTTGGAGCCTGGCTCCCCTCCCCACCCTCGCTCAGGCCCTGCACCCCTTGCCTCCAGACGCGAGGCCATTGGCCTGGCTGCAGCGCCGCGGCTGCTGCTGGAGGGGCCGGACCACAGGGCGCGCGCAGGTGGGCGTGGCCTGAGGGCGTGGCCCGGCGGGAGGCGGGGCCGCGGGCGCTGTCGCAGTGAAAGCCTGAGCGAGCGGCGGCAGCAGCGGCAGCGGCGGAGGCGTCCGGGAGGTTGTGCGCGCGTGTGGGGCGCAGGCTCGGCATCGGCGGCCGCGGCGACTCAGCCTGCGGCAGCAGCGGCGGCAGCCCGTCTGGAGCGCCGCTACGAGGGCGCCAGCTGCAGCGGGGGAGGCGCAGCCGGGACTGCTCGCCCCGCCGAGCCGGCGGCGGTCGAGAACAGGTGATCCCAGCGGGAGCCCCGAGCCCTACCGAGTTGGCGAGGCGGGAGCCCGCGCTCTTGGGCACAGCTGCAGCCGCCCAGCCGTGGCTGGTAGTGGACGGCGCCGGGCTCCGGACCAGGGCTCGAGCATCTCTTCGTTTTGGGGTAGCTTGCGAAGCCCTTTGGCTCCAAAGGCGCGGAAGTGCTTGCTCCCGCTCCCCGGCCTCTCCCCGCGCCCCGGCGCCCACTCCGCGCCGCAGCAAAGTTGTGAACGTGTCCCGATAGCCGAGCCAGGACGCTGTCGTGACCCAGCCGGGTGTGCGCGTTCTCACGCCAGCCCCGCCACCGCCTCACCCCTGGAGGTGGCCCCCTCTGGCAACTGCTTCTGAGGCTGAAACTTTGGGCGCCTGCAAGCGCGGGAGGGAGGCCGGGGCCTGCGGGCGCCCCTCCGCACCGATAGCCTGGGCGCCGCGGACGGCATGTGACGGCCGCAGCGCGGGAAGGCGCGGGCCCCGCGGACCCGGCCGCTGCGGGGAGGGGCCGCGCGGCGGCCGGAGGGGAGGCTGCGGCGCGCGGCCGGCTGCTGCGGGCCCGGGCCCTGAGCCGTGCCGCCCGGCTCGCCCGGGCCCCGCCGAGGCCGCGGCGCCCCTGCTTCAGCTCGGGAGGACTCGCTCCAAACTCCCTGAACTTCCGGGACAGTCCCGGGAGCGGAGCGGCGAGACTCCGTGTTGGCAGCCCTGCCCACGGACCCCACCCCAGGCGGCGCCCTAGCAGCACGCCTTGCCGAGCCCCCTGCGGACACGTGCGGGGAGCCAGAGAGCCTCCAGGGTCCCGGACGGAGCTGACGGTCCCCAGGCCTGTGCCAGGCCACGATGCTCTTGAGGAAAGCGCCGGGCTTCGTCCCGGCCTCGCCGTGGGGGCTGCGGCTGCCGCAGAAGTTCCTTTTCCTTCTCTTCCTCTCGGGCCTCATCACCCTGTGCTTCGGGGCCCTATTCTTGCTGCCGCACTCCTTTCGCCTCAAGCGCCTGTTCCGGACCCAGCAGCCCGGCCTGGAGGTGGTGGCCGAAGTCCCCGGTCACCACCCGGCCCGGGAGCAGGAGCCGCCTCCCAACCCGGCCCCCGCCGCGCCGGCCCCAGGCGAGGACGACCCCGGCAGCCTGGCTGGTGCCCGCCGCAGGAAGGAGTGGCTGAGGCGCACTCGTCCCACCGGACCCCGGGAGGAAGCCACCGCGGCCCGGGGCAACAGCATCGCGGTCCCCAGGCCGAGGGAGGAGAGCGTCCCGTTCAGCTTCGACTTCAACGCGTTCCGGAGCCGCCTCCGCCACCCGGTCCTGGGGATGAGGGTTAATGAGAGTAAGCAGCCCCAGAGCCGAGTTCGAGCCCAGCGGGAGAAAATCAAGGAGGTAAGCACCGCCCCCCCCCGCCCCCAAGGAAAGACCTCATGTTCCTATGCATTTCTCCTGACCCCAGTCCCTCCTGCCCCAGCCTTCTAGGCCCTTCAGGGACCCTGCGCCTCTTCCCGCTCCCCAAACTTTCCATCTTCTCTCCCTCTGTACACTTTCTCACCAGACGTTCAGTTCATTGACCGATAGTAGCTGGAACTCAGGACCAACTGTTCCCAGCCTCCAGAGGTTGAGTCTCTAGCTCAGGCTTCACTCCTGTCCCTCATTAGAGCTGCTAGTGAAAGTAGAGTTCAGGTTCTTTAGTGGGCACCCTCCGTTTGCAGTTGTAGACACAGGAGCCTCTGGAAACTGTTTCTGCCTGTGTGTCTTTAAGTCTTGACTCCCCCCAACCCCCACACCACCAACCCCTGTAGGACCTGGAAAACCAGGATTTGAGAGGTATTTGTTTGGTGTCTTGCTAATATTTTTCAATCTAGTCATCCCCCTACAAACCAGAGACCTTGTGTAGTTCTGCTTACTGTTTCTATTGAGCTTTGGAACAGTTGTACATAATTGCATGTGATGCAGAAAGGAATGATCAATAAGGCTGTAGTAATGACCCGGGGTTACTGGCTTAATGAAGCAGGTCTTGGACTGCTTCCCTGTAGGGATTGTACCAGGGAGGGATTTAGGAGTTTGAGTCTTAATATAAGAAATCAAAAACAAACAGCCTCACCAAGGTTTGAAGATGGTTGCCAAGTCACCCTGGTGCCTAAAGAGCCTGCTCCATCCCTGTTAGAGTGGCCTGCGGGAGGTGTATGCCCAGCAATGCAGAGGGGGCTGCAGTGACACCCCCAGGCCACGAGGGGGCTGTGGGCAAGCCTTGGGCCAGGGTCTTCTCCCTAGAAAGAAGAGGATAATCTCCCGTCCCCGGAGACCCAGAGAGAAAGAGCTGCTTTAGTCTCCACTTCTTGGTTTGCTGCAAGGGAGTCAGCAGGCCTCTCTGATTTTGATTTCTAGGGAAAACAGGCAGCAAGGGTCAGGACATGCCCTGCCAGACCTACTCAAAGCTGGTGGAGAGCTCTGATGTCCCCTTCCCCTATGGGAGCTGTCCTTCTCCCCAGAGCCTACCTTGCCCCATTTATCTCTGCTCTGACCCAGCTGTGCTAGGCAGAGCCCTGTTTGAGATGGTTTTAACTAGCATTCACAGGACGTTTTGTGAAGTCAAGATAGGAAGCCATATAGAAGCTGAGTCCTTGTGCCTGTGTGTGGGCGTGCACATGTGAACATGTGCACACGTGAGTGAGTGCATGTCTGTGGCTTTCAGTTCCCAAGTTCTTGTTGAAATCTCAAAGGTTAATTGAAGGCACTTGCAGCAGTTAAGCAAGGGTCATCGCTTTTCCTCTTTCTGTTAAGGGGCTCTTATTCAGTCACCTGGACCATCTGCAGCTCCCTTTCTCAAAGCTGCCTCTGCGTGCACTAACTGCCCTTCTGGACGCCCTAAAAAGGCAAGTAACTTCTAGTGAAATTATACATAAATTGCATGTGTGCTGATTTTCATGGTATGACCAGAGCAGCCATCAGATTTTCCAAAGGATCCCCCAAAAGGATCAAGAATTAACTAGTGTCTTCCTTGGAAGAGGTCCATGTGATCCACATCCGAAAGTCTCGGGTTGGGAGCCATGTTGGAGGGGTGGGCTGGCTAGTGGGGAACTTGGTTCTCCGCCTCCATGTAAAGCAACCTCCTGTGCCAGCAGAGACTGGGGGCGATGACTGCTGTGGTGGCTGGGGTGGTAGGAGGTGTGAGGACTCTATGCTTTGCAGGTGGGTGTAAAGTAATACAGTGGGAGGAGGTCTGCGTTGGTTGCTAGTTCTCTGGATCTGTCAGCGTGGTGTCTCCTTGCACCCCTGTTAGTAGCTGGAGGCGTGCTTGCATTTACCTGCAATTGGTATTCAGCGGCTCTGTCTTACTATCTCGAAGATGTAAGCTACTCAGAGTGGAGGGCTGGTTTATGCACACCATTATGTTTTGAAAACCTGTGGTTTCTTCAGGCTTCTTGAGTGTGACCTCTCCCCCATACAACCTGAAAAATGTGGGCAGAATTTTTGGATTAGATATTAACATGGAGTTACCATCCTTGCTATCTCATCTAATCTAGGATTATTGCGGGGGGTGTCTTTATTTCCTTCTTGTTTACATTTCTCTGTTACGCCTAGGGGTGCATAATTTTAAAGGTGTCTGTTTTCACAAAAGGGACTGTGACATATATCTCTGGTTTGTTTATTCCCAGACATGGATTGATTAGACCCAAGGCGGTGAGGCGGGGGGCTAGCATCAGATAAAAAGGACCCTGTTCTTACAAGATGAGGTTTTTAAAGTGAAAGTAAACACTGGGGCAGAGCTAGAGAGGGTGATAAATGAGAGTGAATGGAAACTGGACACTCAGGCTTGAGACCAATAAAGTATATTTATGAACATTCTAGTTTGAGAGATGAACATGGGCAGGAGGTCTATGACAATAAGATGGGTTGAAGCTGCAGGTTCTGGGAACACCAGGAAACACTTTGTCACTAGAACAAACTATTTCCTCACTCCCCAGTTTTGGAACCTTGGAGAACGCAATGTGGTAGAGAGAGGACGGGACGCCCAGACAACATGGGTTGGAGTCTTAGATCAGCTGTCAACTGTCCAACTTTGGGCAAATCACTTCCTCTCCTTTCTGAACCTTTCTCTAGGATGGGATAAGAGAAAGGTGAATAAACTGGTCATGGATTCTCTGCGTTCCAGTTCCGGCACCTCTGTGGTCTAGCAGCCTGGCCAGGGTCTCCTTAGCAGGTTCTTAGTACATCTTAGTCCCAAGAAGTCAAGGAAAATAGTGTGTGGTAGTGTTGATGGTAGTGGTGCCCACTGTTGTGTCCTTCGCTCCTACCCATGAGTAGATATTCAAATGTTTGGGAGCTTCATTATTCCTAGCATCCATATTGAACTGTGGAGATGGGGTTGGAATCATGAAGAGTAAAGGTGTTCACTGAAATGCAAAGGGGTGGAGGCTTGTTAGCAGCCTTCCCTTTTAGATCCCAGGGTCATACAGGGAAGTGGGGGTGTGAGAATCAACAAGGGTCTTTTCTGTCAAAGAGCTAGCTCAGTTGGTAGAGCATGAGGCTTTAATCTCAGGGTCGTGGGTGTGGTCCCCTTTCCCCACCCCCCAATATCATACTATGGACTATGTCTGTCATTGTGGCTATTAGCTAATTTCCCCAGTTGTCTTTGTGCTCAGTGGCACGTTGCCTGGCTGTAAAGTTTCTGCCTTTAAACAGAATTTTTTGTCATCCAATGTTCTAAAACTCAAACAGCTAGTTTTAGGATAATCATTCATTGTCTAAAGGAATCTCTGCTCCAAGGTCCCCTTGGCCCATGGGCTAATTATATACTTGGTGCTGCCATTTCAGGTCAGACAGTCATTTCAGGCCTCAGTTTCCCAGAATCCTAGAATTCTTGCCTTAGGGTCATCTTTTTGTCTTTGAGGACACCAACCAAATTAAGTTTCTGTCCATGCTCTCCAATCATGTCTGTTCTTCCCCTATGTCCTCCCCTAAACCTCAACCTTAGTCAGTTGGGAAGATGGTGAATCTGAGCTCCCTCCTTAGAGAAAAGGGACAGTGCTGCGTAAGGGATAAAATGGAGGCAGTTCCCTGCCCCGTTGTGTGTGTGCTGGCTTGCCTGACTTAGGTCAGAGACATACACCCCTCCTGCAGAGGTAAATTTTGCCTTGTTCATCAACTTTCAAACATGTGTCCAATTTGTGATCGTGGCAGCACCCCGATATTTCCAATAGGGGTCATTACTCATGGGTGGATTTCTTACAGCTTCAGGTTCAGACTTTTCTCACATATAACAAGAGTTGGGCATGTATAACTTGTTAGAGTTCTGGTAAAAGAATTCACACTGTCCTGGGGCCATCTAATGATGGTCAATTGCTGATCTGGGGAATGCCAGTTTTCCCAGTAAAGAGAGCTTTTGTTAATGGGAATTGGGCAGTCTGGTGCAATGAGTACAGGGTACTGGAATTGGGGTGTCCCTTGCCCATTTGGTGCTTTCAGACAAACTATAGCAAGAGCCACTTCCTCTGGTTAGCACCACTTTGGAGTGCTGGGTTGGCAAGAAGAATGTGGGTTGAATTTCACCATATAACCCTATTCACTAGCTAAGAATCCAGCCTGGGCTCAAGATCATTAACTCTGAACTTGGAGAGAAATTCCTTTTTATCACTGGGGCTCTGTTTTCCTGGTAAAATCAAGAGTCTGGCATTCTCCTTTCCTGCCTGTTCACTGTTTTACTTGTAGATCTGCTCTAATACCTAGACTACGGCCTGACCTCTAGTTGGAGCCCAGATATTAGAATGACTGACTTCATTAAAGATCTATAAAGTAAAAGTTAAGATTGCTGATGGCCTAAGATTGCTGATGGCCAGGGCTGGGACTTCTCCATGAGGAAACCTGGGGTTCTGGGGAGGCCCAGGGGAGAAGCCACAGCCAGGATAGGGGCTTAGCAGCCCAAGAGGTCCTTTAGCAGTTGCAGTAATTTTCTGAGTACAAGGCAGACTTGAGGGACGTGGGGAGGTGATACCTGTAAGTAAAATCTTAGCTGCCTGGGCACAGGGTGCCTCGAGTTGCCTCAGCATGGCTCTCTTTGCCTGTTGCATTGAGCTTCCAGGATATTGCTGGTTGTCCTATGTGATGGTGTCTGAGTAACTCATCTTGGCAAATGATCCTTGCTCCCCATTAATGGGCTGGTTTGTTAATCATGTGTGGTTTCTCTGTAGATCTGATTTATCAGCACTGATGCCAGGATCAGGTAGGAAAATTAAAAAGTGCTGTGTTCTTTGTAGCATGTGAATTCGAGTCTGTGAGATGTTCAGGATAATATTAGGAACAGCTCAGATTTAAGTAGCTTCCCCTAGAAGAGCTCTGAGCTGCAAATTCATTGAAGATCCTTTCCCTACCTCTGTCCTCAGTTTCTTCAGTTTCCCTCCTGCTGGGCCGTAAGGTCCATTTAAGTAGATGGCTAAAATGACTGGACAGTCCCTTGGGAGACCCTTCTGTCCTAAGCCTAGTTACACACCTCCTTCTTCTGTAGAACTGAGAGCTGCGGTTAGAGGGACACTCAGAATGTGTCCCCGCCAGCTGGACAACTCAGCTGCAGGTCAGGTGGCTCTACTTTCATTTTGAGTTGCACCATCATTTTGGGGATTGGGCATTCCAGGAGCAATCGCTTCTCAGGCCTCACATCCTTAACTCTGTCGTTAGTGTTAGAGCAGGAAATGAAATGATGACTTTTGAAAGTCAGCTGCTTATTTCACAGTATGGTTAGTACAGGGGTAAGAATGTAGATTCCCTGGTGGTTTTCAGTGACTGATTTACATCCAAGCTCACAAAATGCCTTTTCTCTAGCTTTCCCGGAAGACAGATCCATTTCTCCACCAAAAATAAATATTGTGATATATATTAGGCATACTTTGCTCAAAGGGGCTTACATCTTTTCTCTTATTGAAAAAAACGTATCAAGCTCGCAGCTTTTAAAGCCCTGTGCAGGGAAGCTTCTTGGAATTCTAGGTGGGCACCCAGCCTTGTGAGTAATGACTCTGGTTTAGAGAAGACACTGTTTGCACCTGAAGCGTGTGGTGGTAGGGAGGAGCTGTAGGAAACTTTTTGTCTGTGCTGCTGTTGGCCAAATCAGCAAAAAATGTTGGACGTGGGACTCAGAAGAGTAGTTGCCTCCAGTGAAATGGGTATTTATTACTTAAAAACTGGCACCACACATAGAACAGGGAAAAGTGTCATGTACCAAGGATGATTATTGTTCTAGTGCTGTGCACCTCTAGTCCAAAAAGACCAGGTTCATCCAAACACTAAGCTGCAGTTTCTGATTTCCTACAACCCTCTGGCCAAGGCCTTCATGCGAGGTGCTTGCATAAGTGAAGGGAAGATGTGCTAACTAGGTATTTCCATGGCCTGTGAAGGTAAAATCCCAACGTGGAGACTTCGGAGAATTCTCATGGCTGGAGGACGCTGCCTCCTGCCTCCCTCCTTCTCCTTTGCTCCCCTCCCCTCAGGCTGGTCCCCAGCTCACATGCACAGCTTTGGTTGTCTTCATGCACAGTCCATGTGGTAGTCGGTTACTGAAAGTCAGACCTGCCTGGTGGCCCCACCCACCAAGAGAACAAAAGAGTTGCAGGTGCTTTATGCCCTGCGAACAGCTCCTGTTCATACAGGAACTCTTGAGTCTTCTTTAAAGGCAAAAGCCAGAGCAGTTGTCCATCTGTTTAAGTTCAGTGCCATTTGTGGGAACTTTTACAGAGGAAACTTTGGCGTTTTGATTAGTGCCTTCCTTGAGAGATGAACAATTATGCTAATTTTTTGTGTGTGCATTGCTGGAGATTTGAGCTTGGGGCCTCGTACTTGCTAGGCAGGCGCTCTGTCACTTGAGCCACACTGCTCCTTTTGGTTT